GGTTGCCTAGGCTACACGAGACCTTGTGTCAAAAGAGGAGATAAACAACACATTTTTCTATAAATGAACGTTAACTTTTATTTAAACATATACTCCATGGAGTTTTGTTGTTGTTTAATTGTTGTTTTGGTTTGGTTTTACAAGACAGCGTTTCTCCATATTGTTTTGGAGCCTGTCCTGTAACTCGCTGGTAGACCAGGCTGCCCTCAAACTCACAGATACCTGCCTGCCTCTGCCTCCGGAGTGCTGGGATTTAAGGTGTGTGCCTGGCAAGAATGTAAGAGTGTTTCTGCCCGGTTACAAACGGGGTCCATGGAGTTTTGTAGGGATAGAGTGTACTTTGACCCTTAAACACTATGTGGCCAAGTAAGGTGGTGCATACCTTTAATCCCGACATTCGGAAGACAGAGGAAAAAAGATCTTCGTGAGGTCAGCCAGGTCTTTGTAGCAAGCTCCAGGACAACCAACATGGAGAGGCACCTCTCAAAAAAAGCAAACAAAACAAAAGGTCTGTGTGGATATCTGACCAAGCACCTGAATTGACAGGTCATGGACTCTAGAGAAGAACCTATTACTAGTACTTTGCTAATTGGACATATTTTTTTTTAACTGACTGCTAATGACATTTATTATGCCCATAGAATGCATCCCCTTTGGGGATCGAACAGCCCTTTCACTCGACTCTGAAACATTGCACTGCAGTGGTGGGAAATCTGATGTCTGATCCCTTTCCATTGGACATATTTTTTTTTAACTGACTGCTAATGACATTTATTATGCCCATAGAATGCATCCCCTTTGGGGATCGAACAGCCCTTTCACAGAGGTCACCTAAGACCATCAGCAAACACAGACTGCAACTCACAATAGTACCAAAATTGGAGTTATGAAATCACAACAAAAATAATTTTATGGTGAGGGGTCACCACAGCATGAGGAACTGAATTAAAGGGTCGAGGGTTTAGGCAGGACTGCTGTAAATGGTGATTGACAAGGAGATGCACAACTGTCCAAGCTGAAGAAAACAAGAGACTGAGAGAGAATGCTTAGTCCCAATTGGAACACACATACTGCACCTGTCTTCCTAGGGGTCTTGGGGAAGATGAAACAGAAAGACTCCGAGAATCAGAGGCAGTCTTCTGGACATAGCAGGGTAGCTGTACATTTGAACCCACAGCATTTGTGGCAGCATGAACAATAACCAAAAACACAGACCAAATTCCAACATGGAGAGGGGAATGGAGCCCCTGGTACAGGGAAGTCAACCAAGGTCTAGTGGAAGGCCATACATTCCAGAATATTTGAGCAGAACAAATTGATCTTGATGTTTTGTTTTTTGGTTTTGGGGGTTTTTTTATTGTTGTTGTTTTGTTTGTTTATTTTAGAGACAGGATTTCCCTGTGTAGCCCTGGCTGTCTGGGAATTCAGAGCTCTGCCTGCTTCTGCCTCCTCAGTGCCAGGATTAAAGATGAGTACCACAAAGCCTGGCTTTGTTTTTGTTTTTTAAGATACAACTTGGGGTGAATGGAGAAGGAGGGTGAATATGATCAAAACACTGTACAAAATTCTCAGAGAACTAATAAAAATTATAAAAATAAAAGTTCCGTGTGGAACTGGGTAAGCCAGCAGTTTTATATCTAGGAATTGCTTCAAGGCTGACTGCAGAAGTACACATTGATACTTGTATAACTGTTCCCAGGAACAGCTTCAAACATTGTAAAAATGGCAAAAGTTTAAATACTAGACAGCTGTCAGTAAAAATAGTATGGATCCTAACATACTCATGAGGAATGATAACAACTAGATGTTAAGAAAAACTGCAGCAGGGCTGGAGACATGGCTTAATGGTTAAGAGCACTGACTGCTGCTCTTTCAGAGTACTGGGGTTCAGTTCCCAATCCCACATAGCAGACCACAACTGTCTGTAATTTCAATTCCAGGGGCCCTGACACCCATGACAAAACACCAAATAAAAATAAATTAATTAGCCAGGCGGTGGTGGCATATGCCTTTAATCCCAGCACTGGAGAGGCAAAGACAGGCGAATCTTTGTGAATTCTAGGCCAGTCTGGTCTACAAAGTGAGTTCCAGGACAGCCTCCAAAGCCACAGAGAAACCCTGTCTCAAACCCCCCCCCCAGTGTAAATTAATTAATTAAAAAAGAAAAGAAAAATGCAGCAAAAAATAAGTAGGAGCTGGCAGCTGGCAGGGATAGATGGTTTTTTGATTAAGAGCACTGGGTTCAATTCCCAGAGTCTACATAAATGAAGTCAGTGTCCTCTTCTGGACTTCCTAGGCATCAGGCACCAGGCAAAACACTCACACACACACACACTTTTTTCCCCCCCGAACACAGGGTTTCTCTATAGAGTCTGTCTTGAAACTCACTTTGTAGACCAGGCTGGCTTCGAAATTATAGAGATCTGCCTGCCTCTGCCTCCCCAGTGCTGGGATTAAAGGGGTACACCACCACCGCCTGGCCATCGTTTCATTTTTAAAGGACCTAGGATGCTAAATGTTGGATCATTATCTTAGTAGAAAAGTAATTCTATACAAACCACATGACTGTTCTTCACAAGAGAATATCTGTCATGCATCCTTCTTGCAGAGCAATGTTTGTCAAATCAAGAAGGGAATGGCACTCCAAGGTGACATAATATATGCTAATCAGTACTATGTCTTTCAATTGTTTTATAGGGAAGTTCTGTGGCATCAGCTTGTGCCAAGAGAAACTCTTAATAAGTAAAAGAGTGTATTTGATTTTTCCTTTTAAAGCAGAAAACTCTATCTGCTTTAGAGTGATGTTAGTTTCATGCTTATGTTATTACAGCACATGAACAAGGACAGTAACTCCAGACAGCACAGTCTCCATTTTCTGCTATTACTGATATCATAATATCTTGGTAAACTGAGGGTGGGAAGAAATAAAGGAGACATAATATTTGTGTGACCTTCTACAAGAAGAGACAAATTCATTCAGGGACATTATAAATTCATAACTAATTAAAGGTTAAACACCAGTTGCCAATTAGTATGAAAGCGGCTGGAGCACAGGACTCACCCCGCTCTGGAGGCTCGGATCTCGCAAGGCGCCACTTCCTGGCCTTTAGGAAAGCGCCCAACTTCTCAGCAGGTGACAAGGGCAAATTTGATCAAGAGAGGGGTTGGCTCCGAGAGATGTTATCCTTCCCTCTCTCCCTCCCTCCAGTCTAGGAAGAGGAGGGGA